CAGGGGGAGGGCAGGAGCCGGCCCAGGGTGACCCCCTTCACCAGCAAATGAGTCCACACAACACTCGCCTGACACTTTCTCCCTTGCTAAGCTGACTTTTCACCCTGTCAGCGATTAGCCAAGCAACACACCGTGTTTGTGTTTAGAAACTGCACCGAGCACTTCCTATCCAGCCTGCGTCTTACAAACCCCGCAGCAGGAAGGAGTGAAAGCACTTCCCGGGAGTGACAGCTTGGTCTTGGCTGAGAAAGTCACAGAGGGAGAAAAAATGCTCTTGACCTCACAGCTAAGTGCTCAAGATCCGATGCAGGAATACACCGTCACTTAACGCCACCCTCCCATGATCTGTGACTTTGGATAGTTCTTGTGCTGTTCTTATCCAAAACTTCGGGTGCACACACTTAGGGGTCAGAATTCTGTCCAAGATGATAACAGTGGTCGTGGGAGGTGTGCAAGGGAACCGACTGTCAGGAAGCCTGGTGACTGGAGATGAGCCCTGGGAGGAAGGGGTTGGGGTCCTGCCCTTCATCCCGATCTCTTGGCTCAGATGGTTCATCTGCCAACACTCCGGAGTGTCTGCAGTAGCTTCAGGGAGCCGGAGAGACTGGGCACCCTGGACGTGGCAGCGTCATCTGTCTTGATTGCAAACTGATTCTTTTCCTACCAGGAGGCCCACGTTTCTCAATCTGTATTTCCATTCGCAAGGGCGAGGTCTCTGTTATGCTGCTTTCTCAGGCCTCGAGCCTCAAACATGACCCTTCCCCAGCCACACACGTTCGTCCCTCGTCCCCTGTGCTCGTTCTCTTGCCCCCATGCTGCTGTTTCCTAGACTTGCATCCTTTAAAGGGGTAAAGTAACCACAGATCCTGATTATTTGTGTACCTTGATGCCAGAGCCTTCCCTAGATGCAACACAATTGTCCACCACCCTGTGAGATTTGGGCAACCTTGTCTCTTAAAGGTGAAGCTCAGGACACTGAGGTGTCGGAAGGTCAAGGAACTCGGCCAGGGCAGTGACGGGACAGCTGCCTGCCACCCCACCTGTGCGGGGCTCCAGGACCGCACCTGTTCCCCCAAATGTGGGATGATTGTAGGTGATGGGGGCAGAGCATTCAGTGAATGTGGTTCTCACGGTAATAAAGCCATTTTCTTTTCAATTACCTTTTGATCCTTTGGATTAAATTACAGAGAAAGCTTTCAGTTGGGTGCTGGCATGTCTTAAGTCCGTCTTCTAGTACATTCTAATTTTCCTGAGTTGTTAAGAAGTGGGCAGATTTCCAGCTCGAGTCTTTGACAGCAAGAGACCCCAGACCACTGAATGATGGTGTTTGGTTCTCACTGTGTTCAGGCTCGTGTTCCTCTTCAGTGAAAGGCGAGCACACTACTTGGGTTGCTGATTGGAGGCTCATTTACGGTATGTTGGTTTAATGTGGAAAGTGAGTTGATTATAAAAGATTGAATAAGTGGCATGAAGATGTGGCAAACATGTGACAGTCGGGTGTGAATGAAGAAGGTGCTCGGGAGTGCCCTGGGCTCGGGACCTGCGTGAATCAGTGGTGGGTCTGCAGGGTCTGCCCTTAGCCCCCAGCCTCCCTGGGCTGTGCCCAACATACACACACACACACACAATCACATCATGTACACATATCACATGCAAATCACACCCGAGATACACACCACACACACACACCACATACACATATCACATACAAATACACCCACATCTCCCATATATAGACACACCATATACACGCACCACAAACGTGATTGCACACACACCTCACACAGATGCACACATACACACTGAGACACACCCCACATACAGACACACCCTCATGCTGACTTACACACACACAGACACACTCTCATGCTCATGCACACGTACGCACGCGCCCTGCGCCTCTCACATTCACCCTGCTGGAGGGGCCGGCTGCCCCTGTCCTGGGCCGGCTGCCCCTGTCTTGCGCCGACTGCGGCGGGCCGGGCCGTGTGACGGGTAGAGGCGAGACTGCGACACCGGCAGCTGTGTGCCTCCCCGCGGAGTGTGCCTGTGGCGAACACGGCCCCTGAGCCCATGAACCGCCCACCGTGCAGCCTCCTGCACACGTGCCCCCGGCCAGGCCCTCCCCCTGCCCTTGCTTTCTGTCTCTCAGTGATTCTCAACCAGGGCACTTTGCTTCTGGGCACCCTTGTCAGCATCTAGGATACTTTTTGGCTGCCACGATGGGGAGCTGGGACCAGAGATGCTGCAGAATATTCCACAGCACCAGCGCCAGCCCTCAGGGCTGGCCCGGCCGCGTGCACACTGCCCCCTGGGGCCGTCGCTGTGTCTCCTGCAGGTGGAGCTCCTGGGGCCCCTGTGGGTCAGTCTTCCTGGTCTCATCATCTGAGGTTGGCTGAGCCTGGTGGGGGAGGGGGGTTGTGGGGCGGGGTTGCCCCCACTGCCCAGACTCTTCCCCGTCCACCTCGCTGGCACAGACAGAGGAACACAAACACCCCGTGCCGGACGCTCCCCCCTCTGTGCTCCTCTCTGCAAAGTGCTCTGATCTGCTTCTCTGGGGCCGGGCATCCTAACGTCTCTGTTACTGCAGAAACTGCTGTCCACCTCTCCTCCCAGCCCTGCCCTTGGTCTCCTTATCGCCCCTCTGATCAGGCTCCTCTGCGGTCCCATTGCTCTGGAATCCGTTCACCAGCGAGCGCCTGTCTCACCGAGTCAACTGTAAGCCCCTCCAAGAAGACACCCTTGTCTCTGCCACAGCGGTTAGGACTTCTCGCCTGTGAGTCTGACAGAGACCTGCTTCTTTGCAGGTAGACCATGTCGTTGTCAATGTAAAATTCATCATGGATTTAATGATCACGTCTGCAGGGGTGGAGAGAACACCGTTAATATACACATGGGCTGTAAGAGCCATCCCGCTGTTAGCAGTGTCCAACTGTTCTAAACACACATACACATGCCACACGTGCCAGATGCACACCCACATGCACACACATGTTCCCATGTACACACATGCACACACACATTCCCGTGTGCACACACATGCACACACATGCCCCCCACGCCTGCTCATGCACACGTGCCAGTGAACGATATTTGCATCTTGAAAGTCAGAAACTAAGGGGTTGATCAGTTCATGATTTCATTACTTATTGATGCTTCCACCATGAGGTCATTTACTGGGGTTTTCATAATTTCAACCCCATTATTACTTTTCTAATAAACTTGTTGGAGGGTAAAGCCCTTGGCAAAAGGAGGAATGGAGCCTAAATGCGGGGAGTCAGCACCTGTGGGGGTTGTTGCATGGGGGGTGACGAGGCCACGAGGAGGGACCCCGGTCTTGAACACGTGCTGCAGGCACACCGGCTGCCCTGCTCCTGTCCTCTGCCCGATGTGGCGAAATCACACCCCCAAGCATCTCTGTGCTGTTACTTCTGCCAGACTGTTCTTCCTGCCTTTTCTCCCAAGCCCCTGGTTTTTCACGCTAGCTCGGGGAAATGTGTCTCCTTTTCTGTTCCCCGCCCTCCCTGGCGTGGAAAAGCGAGGCTGGTTTTGACCAGTTTGGTTCGCCGAGCTGTCTGTGAATGAGGGAGCATATGGCTCTGGTACTGGGCCACCTGTGGGAAATTAGCTCAGGACAAATCTTCCCTTGTACTGCGTGAATTGCAAAGACTGGGGTAGATGAAACAACTCACAGTGGCTGGGGCTGGAAATGTGTGTGTTTTCCATTTGTTCCTTAGCTGGGGCCACAGCTCAGCCTCTGAAGATGGATTCAGTTTTTTTTTTTTTTTTAAGATTTATTTATTTATGCACACAAGAACTGGGGTACAGGCCGGAGGTGTGGAGGGTGAGAGGTCACCAGAGACAGAGTGGGGAGCAGAACAGGCAGACTGACTGAAATACACTGCTGAGGGGAGCAGCAGGGAGACAGGAGAGGTCTGCTGCACCATGTGGGTAGCTCCCTGGCTAGGGATGGAACTTGTGTTGCAGTGGCTGCCTGTAGCTTCATAGGTTGCGTCTTGACCCCTTGCGCCGCCAGGGAGGCCCCTGAATTCAGTTTTTCAACAAGAGTTTCTGACTTGGAAGAAATGAAATTGTGTCTTAGAATAATTTTCAATAGGTTCTTTGCAACAAACAGACAAAATCTACCTGTTTGTTTACTATTGGTGTATGTACATCAAAATCAGAATTGTAAAAAAAAATCTTTGTTATAGTTTTATCCAAGTTCTTTAAAGCTATTTAGGGCAGTTGATGATTGTGAACATATATCTGTATTACACAGACTGGTACTTAAAATATATTAAGCGATCAGATCACACGTATTTGATGCTTGCTTCACTGTGTTTACCAATCTCTCTTTACAAATGGAATTCATTTCTATCTTTTCGCAGTGTGAGGTAGTGATCATTTTCCTCTTAATCCTTTACATCAGTTATCCAACCCATATAGCTGCCCTTAAGGAAATTTTCTTGTGTTTTGCACATTAATCCAGCACAGTCACGCTTATTTGAAAAAGCTCTTAGTTGCATCTGACTGTTGCACCGAGCAGACGCTGGAGTGCAATTTGGTTCATGGTTTTGGAAATGAAAGAATCCCTGCAGCCACCGTCTGGGAGGACAGAAGAGAATGTGAGGGTCAGGATCCTTTTACTTCTGAGCTGGTGGTGCCTCTTCCACACAGCGCACAGTGGGGCTGCAGGCCACCTCGTCTCCTGTGGGAGCGACAGGTGGAGGCCAGGGGCCGTGCTAAGAATCAAGCTCCTTGATAAAAAAAAACAAACACAAACTGAACCAGCTGGTGCCATGTTAAACGAAAGCAGTTGATTCCCAGTCATGTCAGTACTGACTACGGGCGCGTTCCCTTCAGGCTAGCTGTTGAGCAAACCTGAGCGAGACCCCTCATCTGGTACAAAGTGAGCAGGTCTGTCTCGGCATTTTCTGGGCTCAGTGCACTGAGCTTCTCAGAGCTGGATTTTCAGCAGCTTTTTGCTTTTGTGTTCACAGGATGTGTGAGACTGGAGAAGGGCTGTTTATCTTTCAAACGCGAGATGGAGAGGCCATCTACCAGAAAGTCCACTCGGCCGCCCTGGCCATAGCCGAGCAGCACGAGCGTCTGCTCCAGAGCGTGAAGAATTCAATGGTACGCTGGGGCGACTCCCTGTGGCCCTGCTGGGGCAGGTGCTTGACTCCACACCCAACAGCGTGTTGGATGAAATGCCACCCTTGGGAAGCCCCAGGTGGCCACGAGGTGACAACAGACCCCGGGCACCCCTGATGGTTCATTAATATGCCTTGTGCTTCAGTTTTCGGGGGTGTGTATCCTAATCAGCGTGGGATCCTGCAATAAAATGCCATAGATGTGGGGGAGGGTATTTGGGGGGTATAAACAGCAGCACTTTGTTTTTCCTTGGGAGACAGGCGTCCCCGGTCAAGGTGCAGCTGGCCAGGTCAGTGTCCAGGGTACTACTTCCTGGTTCATAGTCAAGGTGGTCTTTTCACTGTGTCTGACATGGCCATCGAGATGAGGTTCTCTTTTATCTAAAGGGCATGAATCCCACACAAGCCCTCATGACCTATCACCCCCCACCAGAGCTCCCGCCTTCTGACACCACCATTTGGAGGGGGTTGAGCTTTCAGAAACCTGAATGAGGTTATCGTGAATATCCACCATAATGTAAGTAAGAAGACCGAGGGGAAACTGGAGTGAAGTGAGGATGGCCCACCCCCAGGCAGGCATTACTGACCTAAGATTGTGGGCGTCATGTCAGAGGGCTAGCGAATTTCTTGCTGGAGAAGCCAAGGGGGTGAATGTGCATTTGAATAAGGCATATCATAGGCTGTGGCTGCAAACCATGGGGCTCGAATCTGGAAGGAGAATATGCAAAACCAAGAATGCTGGGTCTCTCTGCGTAGTTACTAAACGTGCAGCAGTGGGATTTAAAGAGGGGAAGCACAAGAGTGAAATGATCTGACCCCAGGTAACCCCAGATCACTCCCAGCTTCCTGTCCCTGCACTGTTCTGGGGTTTGGGAGCAGTAACCAGTGACTTTGTATAAAGGGCTGGGCAGCGAGTGCTTTAGGCTTTGTGGACTAAGACGGTGTGTCTGTGGCAGGACATACTTAACCTTGCTGTTGTGCTGCAAAATCAAATCTAGATAGTTCAGATGGGTGTGGAAAAACTTTATTAGTGGGCACTGGAACTCACATTGTATGTAATTTTCATGTATCATGAAGTTTTCTTCACCTGATATTTTCCCCCAACTATTTAAAGATGTTCTTTTTGAACAAACTTGATATTTGTACCCATTTCTCCATATCCTCAACAATCCTGGATGTTGTAATAGGGACAGATAAATGGTTGGTTGGATGGATAGATGGATGGATGGATGGATGGGCAGATGAACGGATGGATGGGTGGATGGACAGATGGATGGGTGGATGGATGGATGGATGGACAGATGGATGGGTGGATGAACACAAAGAGAGATACTAGCTGGCTATGAAGCGGACCTCAAGTTACTTCCAACTACAGGACATGTCACGTGTTAAAGTTAGGTAGCTCTCCCGTTGGATGCCTTTACACACCTGAAGAGGTTTTTCCAAGATCACCTTCGTGGTAAAGCCACAATTAGCATAAATTGTTTTAAGCTTGTAAAGCAGGTTCTGTGCACACGTGTTTTTTCCATTTACAGCCTCCTCATTACTTCCGCTAAAAATTAATCAGGAATATGAGTAATTTGTTCAGATCATCCCATTGCAAATTTAACTGGAAAATGATGTTGTTTGCTCTTAATTTGAGGCATGCTTAACGAGTTCTAGCAAATGAATGTGATTTTAAAACAACAACATCCCATTTTAGATGGAAATGAGTCAGCTTCCAAATGGATCCCACTCGCAGGGAAGCTAGACCTGGCGAATCACTTAAAATCAGTGGGCTTGAGTCAGTCCCTGAGTAGTGCATGAAAAGACTCAGTGGCTGAGTCACGTGCCAGCAGCCTGGAGGGCATCACCTTCCTCTCTGGCACTACACCACTCTCTCTAGCCATGACACTTCATTCCCTTGGAGGTGAGTTGCCCCACTAGCAACTGGCTTAGCTTATTTAAATTACCGGGAATATCAGAGAACCTTCCCAGCAGCACACTCAACTGCAGAGCATCTAAAAGTCACCTGTTTCTTTGGTAGTTTTGTCTCCAGTTGGCAATAGTCTCTCTCCTGGTTCCTCCATCACCTTCTCCACTATTCTTAAGTTCAATATTATCATCCTCTCTAAGGACCTGTAGATGAGTGGGGGGAAGCCAGTGCCTCTCCAAGAACCTACAGGTCTCGGGGGACCCCTGGGAGCAGTTTGCTATTTTTCCCACCTTGGAGATCAGTGTCTGTGACAGACTCTAATTTGGAAGCAAGGAGTGGCCGCGTGTGGGATGTTCCTCCGGCCCCACAGGGGCTGTCATTTCTTGAGTTTCCTCCAGGTGGAGAAGGGCATGGACTCAGCAGACTCCAGGGACTGCAGGCAGGGCTCTGTGGGGGCTCCTCCCCCACATCCTGCCTGCACCCTGGTTTGAGAGTGAATCCAGAACTGTTCCCTGTCACCTCTTTGTTTAATTGATTGACTTTAAGAGTAATTCCTAATGACTTTGTAGAATGTAGGTGCAATTCAGAGCCATTCCCCAGCACCGCATTCTCTGTCTGCAGAAAAGCAGGGCTCAGGGGCTTTTGTTAAACAGGGGGTGTACAAATAAAGGAAAGATTTCCTCGAAGAATAAAGGAGTGAGACCCCTGGTGAACAGTGTCCCCATCAGCCTTACTTGCTGGTGTTTCCTGAGACTAAATTCTTAGTGGTATGATTGTTGGGTGAGGAAATGTGTACGTTTAATTTTGACAACTAAGGAGAATCCCTTCCCCAATGCCACAGTGGGAGGCTGAACACACTCGACCGTTTTGTTGCCTGCACTGAGGTATATAAATCATGTACCTCCTCATCTCAATGTTAAAAACCTCTAATTTTTTTAATAAGCCCAAGATTACAATTAGGGGGTGCAGAGTTCATTGAAAGGGGGAGGGGGTTTCCCTAGTGGCCTAGGTGTTAAATCTCAGCGATATCACCGCCATGGCTTGAGTTCGATCCCCACCAGGGAGCTCCCCACAGGGCGCAGCAGACCTCTCCTGTCTCCCCGCTGCTCCCCTCAGCAGTGTTTCAGTCAGTCTGGGTGTTTTGCTCCCCACTCTGTCTCTGGTGAATCCTCTCTGCCCCCGGTACATCTGGCCTGCACCCCAATAAATAGAGCGAATGGGGGAGGGGAAGACAGGGTTACCAGGGCGGGCACGTGTAAGCAGAAACACAGCTAGAGCTAATCCATCTAGACTCCTGTAATTGAGGGGCAGTTAAAGTTGTCCACAGAGCTCCAGCCTGCTCTGTGCCGAATCTGCATGTTTTATTACCTTCAATTCTCATGACCACCCTCGCAGATAGCGATTGGCTTTTGAGTCCTACCTAATTTATTTTTATATAAATGCATGCACAGGAAATCTAACTACAAGAATATGACCAGATAGACAACATTAACGCTATATATTTTTTTCTTCTCATTCTTTGTTTACATCTGTTTCCTCTCTTAGCAGCTCCCAATCCTAACACATTTTCCATCCTGTCCTCTCTGCCCACGTGACCCTACACAGAAATCAATAGTTCCGCGCACACACAGGTCCACAGGACGGGGGTTTGGGGTTCACTGTTGAATTTACAACATGGTCATCATTTTACAAGCTAACCACCCCTGGTTTTCTCCCTCACAGTAAAGAGCTAGTGGAAATAGTTAAACATTCTGACGTGTGGGTCTGATTCAGGGGGTGGCAGACTATACCCTACAAGCAAAATCTGGCCTGTACCTCCTTTGGTGATTAAATTTTGATTGGAACGCAGCTATGCCCATTCACGGCCTATTGTTCCGGCTGCTTTCTGCTTTCATGTTGAAACAAAAGAGTTAATTACTTGGGGATGGGGATTGTGAAGCCTTCAAAGCTATTTATTTTCTGGTCCTTGACAGAAAATTTACCAAGCTTGGTGGTAGTCATTATTTTTAAAGGCTGTGTGATACTTCAGGGTCTTCGTGTAACTTTAATTTATTGAGCCTATCTATGAGAATATCCATTTTTTTGGTACCAATAAATAATCCCATGATAGCATCTTTTACCCAGCTTCTTATGTACTATTAACTTTATTTAACTGGAGTTTCTGAACTGAATTTTAACTAACTTTTCTAAATTCAGGAGTAGGATGGTGGATTATGGGATGTATTTTTTGATAGGTATAAAATTAAGCGTTTGGTTGGTGTGTTGCTTCTAAAATACTCGACTTTTGTGCCTTCCATTGGCGTTATCCTTAGGTCCATTTCATAGTGGGAGAAACTGAGGCTCAGTGGCTCAAAAGTAGTATGTGAAGAAATCAGACAGGAGCATGGAGTCCCGACTGGTGCTCTGTTCTGGAGGCCTTGAGGGGGTAGAATAGAAACCTTCTAGGAGCTGAGTGGTGTGGTCAGAGTCTATCAGGGGAGCGCAGAGCATCACCTGGAAGGTTGAATAAGTGCCAGGTGACTGAGCCTCTAGTGTTGCAGCAAGTCTTGGGGCAGAGGTTCATTCAGTGAACCCCAGTGCTAAGAACAGAAGTGTCCACTCAGGCGTGATTCCATGACTGTCCAGTGATACTGACCCTTACCCAGTCTTTCCACATCCATCAGCAGCGTGTGTGCATCTGAGATGACCAGAGAGCCTTGTTGTTAAACTCTCTCTGGAGAAAGCTAGATCCTCTTAAGAAATGACCCCCCTAACACAGCGGAGTGCACACCTGTCTGGCAGGTGGAGAAAAGGGGACAAGCAGCCACGCAGACCTCTGTGCACCTCGACATCGCCTTCCCTCTCGTCACCAGCCACACGGTTGCCTGCAGTGATGACAAAATTTGTGCAACAGCTTTTGCATCTCTGTTCCAGAGGAACAGGTACCGTCACTTAGCATAGCAATTAGCATTTTAAGCAGTTTGTATTGATTAAATGAACCTGCTTCATCAAGCGGAAAGAACTCCAAAGAATGCAGCGAATGTAGTTATCGCAATAAATTACTCCCAGCACCCAGCCCGACAAGATGT